CTTCCTTCCTTCCTTCCTTCCTTCCTTCCTTCCTTCCTTCCTTCCTTGATTCCTTCCCTTCCCCTTCCTTACTTTCTTCTCCTCCCCTCCCCAAATCTCTCTCCCTTCTAGCACTGATGATGTTACCTAGTTGGGCCACGAAACGTCTGCAAGAAAACAACCAAGCTCCAAGGGCACCAAAAAAGGACCCTTCAATTGTGATTCATTATTCAGCGGCATGTTCTTTTTCTCGCCAAGGCCTCACCTCAACCTTAATGGCGCATCGGCCGATGGCCCGGACAGCTTTCCTGACAAAATCCACATCCACTTCGGTTGCGTATTCCTTCAACTCAGCGAGCACCTGCAAAGGAACCGAGAGGGGCCGTCTGACAGTTATCAGCTGCCTTTGGAGTCAGAGATCAGTGGGGAAGAAGAACAGCTGGAGCCTGTTCCCGATATGCGCATGCACAGAGCTGCCAGAAGAAGGGAACAGCTGAAGGACGAGGGCCAACTTGAGAGTAAAGCCACAGGTGGACGGTGAATGGCCCCTCCCACGGGGAATAAAAAGGAGCAAGGGGGGAGTGGGGCTTTGCAGGAGACAATTGGTTCAATTCATTAGGGTGAAGATCTGTCCCTGACTCCTTGCCAAGTAATTGCTGCTACAGTGTGGCGTTTGGAAGATATCGGCCTGGCAACTCTCCAAGCCTGATAAAGGTCTGTAGTTGTGAACTTTCTTGAAAGACTGTTGGCCGGGACTTTGCTGGAGAGGAATTCCCTTTAACCTAAATAAAAGGGGTTTTTATCGGGACGCGGAGTCTGTTTCATGATCTTGGGAAGCCTCGGTCAGAACGCTGACAGATCTGAAGAGCTGCAAGGCAGGCAGGTGGGCAGAAGTTTCACCTGAAGAACGTTACCTGTGCAATGTTGGCCTGGGAGGCCAGGCGGATCATAATGTCCAGCTTCTCCAGCTTGACGTAAATGGGGTCGTTGTACTTCACAAAGAAGACTTTCATCTCGTGCTTGAGAATTTCAGGCCTGAAGAGAAGAGAAATAAAGAAATAAGGAAACGGGACAGCCCGTGTTCTTCTATCCAGGTGGTATTCGCATAACCGGAGTCTACTGTTCTGACCAAGGCTTCCGAGACTCTAATTACGCACGCGCTTATCTCAAAAACAAGTCTTGATTTATTGCAACGCTGGGAATTATTTTCATTCCCAGCCGGTAATGAATCTCAAACAGTTCCACAAGATAAGCACCCACCTTTCTGTTCTGTGAAGTGCTGCCAATAACAGAAGGGTCAAATGAACCAGAAAAGAAAACCAACCGAAGTACAAAGAGTTTCAAGAATGAATCTGAACCAAACAAACGACTTTGCTTCCTGCAAAGGTTTCGTCATCTTTGCCTGACCTTTATAACTCATGGGACGGGCAATCACCTCCCAGCCTTACTCCCGAGTCGCCACTTTTGTTTCAGCTGCTCTTGCCTTGTAGCAGCTCTGCGCATACGTGCACTGGGAATAGGCTCCCCTTATTACTCTTCCTCGCTGCTGCCAGACTCCCGAGGCTCCGGAGTCAACACATAACTGCCAGATGGTCCGGGCCCATCTCTGCAGCGGATGCGGGACCCTCATCTGAGTCCTCTCCGGACTCCCAGGCTGATCCCCTCTCTTCCCCACTGTCCGATTCCGCTGCCATCTGCACCAGCAAACCACAACATCTACTAGCTGCATTCGCACAACCGGGTAAACCTGATTTGGGTGTGGCTTAGCCCTACGGCCAGTTTCTCTACACTGCCAGATCTTGTGCAAAACCTTCCAATAAAGATATAGTCCTTGTATTACAGCCAAAAGGGAGCCGGGCCGATCCTGGCCATAACTTGTGACCCGTAGTAAAAGAGTCATGCAATTTTACGACCTGTTTTGCAATAGCCATTAAGTGCCAGGGGTGCAAGAGGAAACTCACCTTTTTTGAACAATCAAATTGATGTTCCGAAGGGCCACGTACTGCAGTTCCGGTTCCGCCGAGAGCAGAGTGACCAGAGGGGGAGCCAGCTTCTTCAGCAAAGTCCCGTAATAATCTAGATCTTTGGACAGCATCTCCGTGAACTTCATCAACACCTTCACGGCGGAAAGGACCACGGCCGAGTTGGCGTGGGACAACCTGGGAGTCACCCGCTCACAGATGCTGAAAAAGAAAGGGTGGGTCAGGAGTCTCTTGTGACTCCACGCACGAATCTCAGTTCTGGGCTTGGCTTTGCTGTTGTTCACTTGACCTTTAGTAAGCGATTCCTTTCTCGACAGATGCGGAGTCCCAGATCGTTCTTACTTGAAGGTTCAAGTTGAGACAGGTGTCAACTCGTAAAACATTCCTATGCCTGTTTTCAAGTTGCCATAAACAGAGTGGGGGGAAGAGAATCTGAAGGGGCAGCACAGCAGTGTAAAACCAGAAGGATATCCCACCCTTCTCTTAAAAAGATTGTAGAGGCTACCGCATCTTCTGCCCTCGAAAACCCTTCACTGGGGAATGTGATTGAGGACACCCCAAATCCTTCATTGGGGAATGTGATTGAGGACACCCAAATCCTTCATTGGGGAATGTGATTGAGGACACCCCAAATCCTT